TTATATCTTATTGTTTGTCAAAACTTACGTAGTGCTGTGAAGGGAGAGGTTACTCGGGATTGTACTCGATGCAGAAGAATGAGGGTTGAGAAGAGTGAGTGCTGATCACTACTTCTGTGGCTAACCGTAAGCTTCATTATTCCTAGCGGTCTAGGTACAGACAAACGAACAGGAGCTAAGCATGAAAAATCTCACGTAATTTTAAAATAATACTGTGGATTCAGAAACGCTGAAATATTATTTTTCCGTAAGTAATAGCAGCCTGGAAAAATCCCCAGTTTTACAGTGTCAGAACGTGGGAGGTTGTGAAGGCCAAGGAGAAACTACCTCTCAATCAAGGAGCTGTCAGGATTTTCCCGTCGTGGATTTTCTAAGGCTGAAGTCAAAACAATAAACTACATTTATGACTGTGATGTAGAAGACCATTACTGGATGACATCATGGTGCCACTTGGCCTGTTTACAGTAACACACAAGTCCAGATGTGCAACTTGCTACAAACTTTAAAAAAAAACCTAACTGTAAGGATGAGGAAAAACTCAATAAGCAAGTGGGTTTTGCCTTTTTTCCTTGTTCCTTTGTTTAAAATACCTTCGTTAATTAAAACAAAAAATAAGGTTACTATGAAAAAAATCTCCCCCTTTTTTTTTCATTTAATAATGACAGGAGGCTGTTCTCTCTTTTTTTTTATTTTTCTTTGATCACATCTCATGATCCTGATGACTCCAGTTGCGTCAATTGATCAGCCGTTACCTTAAAACACTAGTGACAGGTTTAGTCTGTCACTTAGACAAGATTTGTTCATGTTATTCATTCTGAAAGTCTTGGGTTTATAGCACTTCCAGAGTAAAATAAACCTGTACTGGCAGCATATTTTTAGTCCGTTTATCTACAGCTACATGAGTCTTCTACCAGTAAGAAAAACATCTCAAAAAGTGTAACTCAACCAGTATTGTTATTCTGGCTGTTATTTCCAGTGGTCTAATTATAAATGCTAGTACAGCTGTTGCCTGTTTATTCTGCAGCATATGGTTTATGTCAATAAGTTGCTAAAAAATAAAAGCAGCAGAGAGTCCAGTTTTCAGTTGACTCTACGTGAAGCAATTGCAACTCCCCTGGAAATTATGTAGTAATTGTTGCATTTATCTGACGGGCATAACTACACACACTAAATATTTTGGCTGGTAATAGTTTTAAAAGACACTTTTTTTTGTTTAGATTGACCACGGATACACTCACTCACATCAGTTGGTTTACGTGTACTTGTCTATTGTAGCAGTCACACAGTGCACGTATTTACCTATGGATTGAAGCTCAGCTCCCATAACTGTAAGTGAAGAACACTGGCTTTTTCTGCTTTACTAGCTTTATCTTTCATCCGACTTACAGGGAGCCCCCAATGGGTTGTGAGATCCAATAGCTGAGGTGGGTGAGGCTAACGGGGCACCTTGTTATGCTCCACATTTTTGTTGTAAATAATTTTATATATTAAATGCATGAAACCTTTGCCATAGGGAAGTGAGACAAGAATTTGAGAGGCTAAAGAAAGTGGGCCCAGCTAATGGTTGGTCGCAAAAATAAAATTTAAGAACAACGAGAGCAGCTGCCTTTAGAGAATGACCCAATTGTAAGGCACAACCAGTATCTGAAAGGCTACATCTGAGACGTAGCAGTGAATGGTTTTGTCTAGCAATGGCACATCTGAGAGAGTTAAAATAACAGTGTTTAAAAACTGCACGTGGTTATCTTAACTCGCCCTGTAAAAGCCAAGAGGTACTAATCTCCATTCAGTATCTTTTATGTACGTGACCAAACCCGCCATGCCCAGATCTTCTGATCACCTCTCTGGCCATGGAGACGCTGACCATCACCTCCACTTTCAGTGTAGAAATACAGTACAGAAAAATTTTTTTATACAGAAAAATATTTTTTATACTAAGAACTGTGGTCTAGACCATTCTGTGTCAGGATAATTTCTGAGATAGTTTTTTGGGGGTTTTTTTTGCCTAAGTGGTCCATTTGGTAAAGGCATAAGGTTATTTTCTCACTCAGACAGTCACCATCCTTCTGAATTTATGCTGCAGGATCTGCTCGCAAGCTTGGTTACCTACTGTGCCCCTCAGTGTATCCTTCAGCGACCATCTGTCTCTCTCACAGGGTTTTTCCAGTAGTGGTGCAGGATGGAGAATTTCCTGTGTCGGTGGCTGTTCTTGCCATACGTCAAACAGGGCACTGCGAGAAAGGCACACGTAATCCTTACTCCACATTTCCTCTTCCAAGGAAATTCTGCCAGCTAAAGGGGCGGTAGTTGTCTTCCTACACCCAGGCAAAGGTTGTGCTTCCCTTCCCGCCACCAGTACTGATCACCTGCTTCTTGCAAAGCACTTGGTTTAAACCCCGATTTTTGTCACCATGCCCCGTGATGTTTACAGAATTGAAGAAACTGTGCCGCTCCGAAAGCGACGTGTACTGTGCTTTTGTACAGGACTGATTGTCAATAAAACGTAATTCAGCTAAAACAAAAGAACTGATTGCCAACAAAGTACAATTTAGATAAAAGAAAAGGTGTATTCCGGACAAAAAGCTTCCATAGCAGTAGAGGCAGTAGAAATGATCCAGAAAATACTGACATTACTAAAACTGCAGGCATAATTTTATTTTTTTTTTTTTTAAGTATCCAAACTCTCGTACTCAAACTTTCAAACAGAATGGCAACGTGAACAGTAGGCATTTGTAAAGTTGCTGTCAGCTGGAAGCTGCGTTAAAGAACACTATTTAAACATGTTTCTGCTACCGTGCTTTTTACCAAACGTGTGTTCCTACACGTGCTGAAATCTGCACACCGAACCTGGTGTCAAAAAGGTTGTCACAGAAACTCTGCCGTGAGGACCGAGCACTTTTGTCATTTGTATGTAGACGAGACAGAAATGTGTCTTATAACAGCCAGATCGTCCATCCCCGGGATGTAAGTGATTCCATGGGATATGATGAAACTTATTTTAAAAAATAAAGATGGAACTAAATGTAGCGTGTAATCATTTAGATCTAGACGGGAGGAAAAACGGTCCTGTTCAATGAAATGTACAGGAAACATTTAGGAGACCAGAATGCATCTTTTGGGTTTGTTAAACAAAGAGAGGAATAAAACTTGAGACAAAATCTCTCAGTTTTGATTGAAATTTTGAATTTTAAGTCCAGGATGTTCACTTTGTCCTCTACCGAAGTGCCGTATACAGAGCTAGAGAAGTCCCCGGAGCTTTGGGGTTTGGTGTAACTCCCGGAGTAAGCCCAAATCCACTAGTGCGCAACCTATATAGAGAAAAAACTGTTCACACAGTCTTACTTAAAGCTGCTTAACAGCTTAAAATGATAAAAAGTCCTTAACACAGTTTAAGAACTTAAACCACTTAAACTGTTTGAAGAGTTTGGGGCTGGGGCGGGGAGAGGCAGCCCTGCTGCTCTGCAGCCCTGGGGACAGAGCCGGCAGGGGACCGCACGCTGTGTTCTGGCACAGGGGCCCTTCTGGAGCCAAACTGGGGAGAGGCTGGGAGGGGACGTGATGGAGAAGATGGAAGAGTTTTCTACATAGTTTTATATCGTATTGTGCATATGTCTGGATTGCTTTGCTTTAAGTCTTGTTGCGGGGAATCTGACGGGAATGTGAGGTGTAAAGCGGTGGCATCCCCCCAGTGAAACAGGGAGGAGGGTGGCAGAAAAATGTTTTCCATGAGAAGTCTCCAGCTGTGTAAAACAGCTTGGGCTCATGAGCCAAGGGAAGGGTCCTCAGGAGCATTGCAAAGAAATCTTCTGCAAGAGCTGCAAGACAAAAATATTTTGCTTTTATGGCTCTAGGAGTTGGAGGCGGGGGGGCCTTTCAGGTGTTTGGAGGAGGATTTTTTTTCTGAAAGATTATTTTTGGGAAAAAAAAATGCAGGCAGGGGGTAGGCAGGGAGGGTCGCTTTAGTCTGATCTCGAACAGTGGTAGTCAGGTGGTCGTATCGGAAGTAAATTGTTGTTACTATGTGAAGTTCCACATTTGTAAAACATAAAATAAACCAGTCTTTGTGATACCCAGTTTGGTCCCTGCTGTGGCATGGGGTGGTCAGTGGTTGACTCTGTGTGTGTGTGTGTGTGTGTGCGCTCAGATGAAAAAAATGGGGGCACTGCACTGAAATGATACTTGAGGACAAAGGAAGGAGACACGGGAATTAGGAATAAATGTCTGAAGGTGGAAAACAGCCAGGACGTTTCTTCTGATGGCAGTGATGCCACCTGAAATGTTTTGAAACTTGGGCTGCTTTTCATTGATGCAGAGGCAGTGATTTACACCCTTCGTGCTCAGAAGAGGCTGTAAAACAGGAGTCAATTACATTCTGTACAATTTGAAAATAAATGGTGTATTCACAGCCACTCACATTGAGGCCCATTTACACTTCCAGAGTGCTGTGATGAGTAAATGAAAGTTAGGGCTGTGTGTGAATGAAAAATGCCTGTTTTACCAGAGGCTGTGAAGAGAGAGAGAGAGAGAGAGACGCGGTGGAAATTGGAAGCCAGATTTTTATTTGTTTGCTTAAAACAATCCTATTGATTTGGAGTCAGGTGGAGTATCGGTGTAACTGCAAACTAGTTCCATTGAATTCTGTAAGGTATTTCTAGTGAGGCTGATGGGGATGGAAGTTTATAATCTGAGTTTTTCCCTGTGCTCGAGTCTGTCTTTATTGCACTGTGTTCTTGTGCAAATTTGCCTTTATAATATTTAATGTGAATGTTATTTGTCTAAAAAATAAAAATTTAACTGGGGTGAAAACGAGCTCGGGTAGAGTTACATTCATACGATCTCAATACAATTAAATTACTTGTTGGTTTTCTTTTATGATGAGGGAAGAGATACGCAAAAGTTGCTCGGTGAGGGTAAGCGCTTTAAGAAATAAAACACTTAATGAATGAAATCTTGGTAATGTACTACGTAATATTAATGTCTCAATATTCCTTGAATTTCAGAACATTTCAGGATCTGTCCAAACAAATGGATATCTCTTATGGTACAGTCAGGGATTCAGCAGTGTATGAATACTTTAAAGCAAAAGGGACCAACCCTTTGGAGCAGGATAACACATTTGCTGAACTGTGGAGGACTATCAGTAAGAATAATGGGGCAGATAATTGTGTATCGAACCCTTCTGAAGGCATCAGGAAGGTAAGACTGGATTGCAGGAGTTTTCCTGTAATGTTTTTTGTGCTGTATCAATGTTGCCTGCATGGAGTTAATAATGTCAAGTCACAGGAAAGCAGTTACGTTGTCATTCTGAAAACAAAAAATCCCTATCTAAAGTTCCTTCTAGTAGCTCGATGGCGGAGAAGAATCATATTTTGGGGTCATGGTTTTGAATTTAAGTACCTTAGCTCTGCCTAAGTCGTCAGTATATGAACCGTTCTTTGGATCTGACTATGAGGTTTCTCCGTTTCTTGGGAGCTCCGTGTTGAATGTCATTCTCTACATTATTCAGGTACTGACTCTTGTCCTTTGCCCATTTAAAATTTTTTTTTTTTTTTGAGTTGGTGGATTGAATTTACTGGAAACCTGAGTAAGAACCAAGGGATTCACTGAACATACATTCATTTATCTTAGAACAGAAATGTAATGGAAGATTTTCCCTGTTTATTCCAAACTTTAAAAAATGCGTATACTCGTTCACATGTCACTGTGCTTTCACCTAACTTTTTTTTTTTAAATCTCAAATATGACTACACTTCTTTTTTTTTTGGTGAAACTGAGCACTGATGTGGGATTCAAGGACATAGAACAGCTTGGGATCCTACATCCCTGTGCCGAGTCCTGTGATAATCAGCCCCGGTTCAGATCCACTCAAAGACAAACATCCACACTTTGTCTCACTCTTGGGCTGCCTCTCTTCTCTGCTTCTCATGTTGTAGCTCAGCAAAACCAGAGAGTAAATAACATCAAACCACATGTATCCAGGAGTATGTTACAGAAGAAGAGAGGCAAAGGTGGTGAAAGTTTAATGTGCTGCTCCTTTAGTGAAGTGGCCTCTTTATTTTTAAATTGATTTTTTTCATAAAACATGATAGCGGCTGGTATTAAGGCGTTTGCTTGATCAGAGTTACTCTGTTGTCAGTGAAACACTGATCCCGAGTAAATATATTACTAGTTCTTTATGCTTTTGTAAGCAGGAAATAATAAAGTGATTGGGGCTTGGGTTTCTTTTATTTATTTAATTTTTTTTTAAGCTTTGAAACCTCTTCTAAACAGTCAGAAGGAAAGCTTCCAAACTGTACTGGACTTTACAGTGCACCTGACAGGGGGGTGAACACGGTAACGCTGGCCATCCCGTTTTTCAAATCAAAAATCCTTTACCATAAGATTCCCAACTGTTTGTGTGACTTTTGGACAGAATCCTTATACAAAGCCTTGTGTCTTCTCAGCACAGTATCGAGTCAGTAGTTTTAGTTCATCCTGCCTTTTCGCCCATCTCCCAGCTGAGCTTTCCCTCTGCCCTCAGCTCAAATAGCCGCTCTTCCTCGGTACAAGGGAGAGCTCTGGCAATAACGAAGTCTCCACTGTGTTGATTTTATTTTATTTTTTTTTTAATCTGCTCAGCAGTCTATGAAAATGAGGCCTCTATTTTGAGAGACTCTGTTAGCATTTAAAGGAGGTAGAAATAGAGACGTGAAGTACTTTTCTATGGGCCCTAGTCTTAAAACCAATAATAAAACAGTTCACCTTAGAAAAATGCACAGTATTTTTTTTTTTAATAATTCTTGTGTCAGTGGATACTTTTTTAGCCACGAGATTGTAAAAATTCTGTAAGCATGCTGCCGTTTAGGATAGCTAGATTTGCCCAAGCCAGAAATGTACCTGTAGATTGACAGGCTGTTTAGAATACCAATTATATTGTCTGTATGGAGCTGGCAGCTGTATCCCATCTTTGCGATAATAACTTTTAATATTCAATTTTATTTCAATATTGTAGAGTGATTTTTATATAACTTGAGCAGCTCACTCAATTAGCGTCAACAATAACCAAATTAACTTCAGTCCCCAAAGCTGACCAAGGCTGCTATTTGATTAGACACCTCCACAAATTGGGCTTAATATTTAATAACATTGTCAACTAAACTGTTGTGTTTATAGTTTCAGTGTTGCTCTTCCTAGCTCATTGAACTCTTTGAATAATCAGACAAGTTTTCCATGTCAAGTATTTTGGCTAGAAATTCTGGGTTTTTTTCTAAAGGAGAATTGATGTCAGCTAAGGAAATGGGACTTTCCATCCGTAAACATGTACTGCTGCATGAAGGAGATGTAAAAGTGCCTTAAAAAAGTGTTTTATAGGAAAGGGGAAATCTAAATCTCTCTAGCATGAAAAGATCCCTAAAACATTTTTCTGAATGAGGACTTGCCCAAGACAAGACTACCCTTTCTGCCTTCCTTCCCCTCTCCATTTTCTCCGGGGAGCAGCACAGTTCAGCTGCAGTTGCAAACAGAGCAATGCGAAACAGGAGAGTGCTGCTTATTTATGGTATAGGCAGGTATTTCAGATGCTCGTCTCTCTCCCATTTACCTCTCGTCATTTCCTGGGTATTTTCCTACTCCCTTTGACTGCCTAAAAACAAAAGGATAACAGTGGAAGTAAGTCCTGAAAGCTTTTGCGGCATCCGGTTGCCATGGCAGAGGTCTCTCTCTTTTCAGACACGGCACAGTCCCTGCAGCCGCACGGATCATCTCCCATTGTCAAGGCACAGGTTCTGCAGCACTGGTAGAGCCCCGGCAAGGGCGTTAATGCACTCCAGAGTCACGTCAGCATCAGAAGGACGTTTCAGAGCCAAGGGGCAGGGGAAGAGAGGTCGCTTTTGTCGTCCTCCCAAGACAGTTGAAAGTGATCGTTGCAGATGGAAAACATCCTCCTGTTTATAAACATCGCTGCTTAGCGTCAGCGGGGGTTTTACCAGACAAAGCACCAGTCCTTACAAAATGCTGGTTTGCCCTTTGAGTTTTCTGGTAGTGGAACAGATGAGGATTGACTAACGCTGTTGTGTGAAAAGTTTCTTTCTGGGTCGAGCTACAGCCAGGATCCCCAAGAAGCTTCCCCAGGGTAGCTCCTGCCATCTCACCCCGGGCGGGTGGACATCGGTACTGGAATCTCACACATTTCTAAGACATTTGTGTATCTCAGCAAACTGTTTGCATAATACCCCGTGGCAGTCAGTTCTTTGGGGTAATAATCAATTAACCACAACATCCATAATAACCTGTGGGTTTTTTTCACTGTGGGCAGCCGTTTTTGCTTTGAAAGAATGAAGTAATATGATCTCTGTGTAATCCCATATATATATATTTTTTTATATATACATAGGAGAATTAAACTGTTTCTGTTTGGCTTTTGTTTTGTTTTTTTTTTAAAGCCTTGCTTTGGTAGAGATTGTTTATTCCCTAGTTTGGTGCCAACCATTGGACCAATTTGGTGCCAAAATTTCTTGGAATCCTTCCTTTTCTTCCTGTGTATCACTTTTGATGAAAAGTGATCAAACCCATGTGTAGTACAAAATGTGAATGTATCTTTGCTTTAGGCAATGGCACAGTAAGAGTGTATTCCATCCCTTATTTTGCTTCCTTCAAAAATTTTCTCTCCTTTAATGAACACTAAATATTAAATCAGGAGTGTTTCTTCTTAAGCAGTCACCTCCGTTTTTATTTTGAGGGTAAAAGTAATTTAAAAGGTCGACAAAGAGGATTTCTTAAAACTATTTTTTCCAATAATTTGTTGTCCATGGTGAATGTTATACTGTGAATTGTGGTTGCTCATCCATATGTTTTCATGGGTCCTCATAAATTTCTCCGTTTCTTTGACCCATCGACCTTTTTGGGAGTAAAAGCAAACGCTTCTTTAAAGCCTGAATATATTACATCCTTCAGTGGCTCCTTAATGATATTAATTTTTAAATAATTTGAACAGAATTAAATGTCATGTTTTATTTTTATTAGAACTGTATTGCTTCTCTTAAAGCACTTTTTTTCTAGTTAATAAGTGTTATCCAATCATGGTTTTGAACTGCTCCACTGATGCCAATGTAAAGGTCACTTTTTGATATTTCTGTGGTACCTGCCATATAATGGGATCAGCTGCGGTGACGCTGTTCAGGCAGGACATTAATGATGAATGTGGCATTATTCTGTCACTTTTGCCTTTCGTGCGGTAGCTTCTTCATCAGTTTCAGACAAATCACAGACATAACAGTGATTAATCTGAAACTATATTTTTTTTCCAAGTTATTTTTACATCCCGTGCTTTCTTTGGAAAAACATTGTTTTACCATCCGTAAGCCAGGGTCCTTTGAACAATATTCTTCCATCTCCCTCCGTGTTGTTGAGTGACGTTATGAGGTTGCTTACTGTTCTTCTGAAGTATCTTTGTGATCCTTCTTATACCTAGGAAGCAATCTTCCTCAGCCTTTTAAATTTTTTATCATTGTGAAGAAGAAATATTTTTAATATAAGTTTTGCTTAGAGGATTCTTTTCTTCTTAAATCTGTTTTCTTAAACCTCTTCAACCAAAGATAAATCTGGTGTCTTCGGTGTAAACCACCATGGTAGGGTGGAGTAAATGAGTGCTGCTTTGGCTAAATTGCTGTTAAAGAAGTTTTTGAAAGTTTTAACCAAGTTATTTTTGTTTTGTTCTGCAATATGCCTGGATGCTGAGAGTTGCAAAGGAGCAAAATATTAAAGCCAATTACAAGTCTAAAGTATAAATTTTAGCTTATTCTGTGTTTCATTTCAGTCATTCTTTATTCAAAATATCTTACCTATTCTCAGCTGGTATTTGCCACGTTCCCTTTTACCATCTCTCTCTATATATATTACCTTTGCAATGATGTCTGATCACCAGAACATTTTTATTCTATTTTGGGCCCTAAAACAATACAATGCAGGCCTTAGATGACTGAGCTGTGAATGCAGGAGCCTGAGGATTTGGGTCTTTGCTGTATTTGATCAGGACTCGGTTGCATGGGTAGGTACGTCTGTGTCATATGCAACTAGGGAGCCTTGATATGTCTGATTGCTGCTCATACGTCCCACGGGGCAGGTGTTTCCTGGAATTCTTAGTTTTTCTTCCTCCAGTACCCCTCTGGCCTGGAAACTAAGGGGAATGCACATGTGCACGCGTGCATTCTTTCATGAGACAGAAATGAAAAGTTCGAACTACTTTTAAAAAATGTTGGCTTGATTTTTGATTGAAAATAAGTGTCCATTTGATTGTATTTGGTTTTTACTGCTTGCCTAGTGAAGGTATATAAAAAGTAAACCTATCCCAAACACACGCGTATGTGTGTGGTTTTGTGTCTTGCACACATTTCTCAAATTTTCTTTAAATTGAACAAATTATACCGCTTAGCTGTTACAACAGATATTAACAGGGGTGTGGAGGATGCTGAATTAGACAGCGACTAAACATTTGGCCATAAGGAAGCTTTCCATGCAGTGAACACACTAACGGTACATGGTCTTCACTCCTCAAGAAGAAAATTACACAAGTGGAAGAAGTTTTGAAAGAGATAAATCTTCCGTTAGGAAAAACAGATCTTTGGATATTCTGGTTTTGGGAATCAGAGAGGGGAAACAGTCTTACATCCAGTATTTCTGGGAGTTGAGAAGCATGCAGAACTAAGAGTTTAAAACTCAGATTCCTGCTTATGCAAAAATGATCAGGCTGTCAGAGAAACAGTGCTCTACAGATGTGATGGCACTGGATAGAATTATTTAGGTCTTAAGAGATATAAAGAGGTAGACTTTGTTTATTGACCACTTACAGTTGTAGGACATAACTTAGGATAGCAACCTTGCAAATGCAAGAGTAGACCTTTTCGAAAGATCTGCTGTCCAACACTGAAAGTCAGTGCTCTTCTATATAAAATATCACACAAACAACCTGAGGCTTGAAAAGTAGAATCAATAATGTGATCATTTCTCTAGACGTTACCTTATCGTTGAAACTGAATATTTGAGGAAGACCGTGTTCCTCAAGTGTTGCTAAGAAAAAGATGAGGAATGTATGACGTGATGTCAGTGTTGTCCTTTTCTAAACTGTAAATTTAAAAAGATGATTTGTAGAGCAGTTCTGAAACAACTAAAAGGTACGGCTCTTTAAAACAAAAAAGCAAACAAACAAAAAAAAAAAATCAGAAAAACGCATGGTGATTTAGGCCAAATCTTTTCTGGGTCTCCTCTTTCTGTACATCCATCAGGCAAGTTTTTGCCCTCTAATAAAACGGATTTTGAATAAGTTCTGTGTGCAGTAACAACTACTGTTGTCTTTGGTCCCACGAGTATATATTTTTAATGCACTTGGACAGTTTTCTGTCACAGGTAGCAAAAGCCTGTGTACTATTTACCATAGAACTCAGGCTGTCTGAGGTGTGCAGAAATACGGCTTTGGATGGTTCTTCCCTGCCGGAAACACCAGTGGGACTGTTGCCCAGTGCCTGTTGTCCCTAACCAGGTGGGAGGCCTGTCAGCACCATCACAGATATGAGAGCATAAAATGTGACTCACTGAAGCCCGTCACAGGCAGAGCAGAGGACAGGATGCAGATTTGCTGCTAACAACCCACTTAGTCACGGGTACGTGATCATTCAGAAAGCGCCTTCGAAAAAGCACTTTTTCGGCTTCCAAGAATGTCGGTTGCTGGCTGAATATAGGCTGGAGGCCTTGAGGAATCGTTCCCTTGCCATCTTTAATTTTTTACACATCCTTGTGTTGATAGGTTATGAAGCCTTCTCTGGCTGTCACGTACAAGTAGAGTGATTTGTTTGTTCTCTCCTCCTTTGCGCCACCACTGCCTCTTTAGGTAGACAGCCAGGTCCAGTATTACAATGCAGATGTGGAAGTCTCACTCTGCTCTAGCTTCATACGGTGACGTTGAAGTGAGAGATATTTTTATGAACATTCTAGTCTAATAAGTTGTGTCAGCTCAATCAATGGATGATTTTAACAGCGGAGCCCTATGGCTCCTGTCTGAACAGCTCCTGTAAGGTCCATACTGTAGTTTAGATTTTAATGATGTTTTGTGCCGACGTAGCAACAGTTGTCTGAGGCTATGGGCATTAATTACTGTAATTCTGAACTGACCAGGGAGGTGGAAAGGAGAAGGTGGAGACAAACCCACAATGGTGGCATGCCATTAACAAAAAATTATTTTCGAAGTGGTCAGTACAGGCTCATTTAAATCGTACTAAAGAGAAAGGCTATAACAGTTTTACTCTGGTTTAGCTCGGAAGCAAATGAATTTTGGGATCTTTGATTGCTTTGATGCAGATAAAAGGGAAGGGGGAGAAAGAGGTGGATTGTGGCGAGTAGCTTACAGAAAATCCAGACAACGTTCTTGCGGTCTTTGTTGCCCTGGATTCTACCCACTAGAGGGTAACTCGCCCATTTCTTTTATTGACATATTTAAACAACTGTCAGGAACCTCAGAAAGCTGCGGTTTATATCAAAGCACGGTGAAGTAAAATTAGTTTAATTGCTCAATTGAGGAATAACTAAAGGAGTCTTGCAGGTGAATTTAAAACTGAGTTTACACAAAAATGGAAAATATGTGGAAGGAGAGCTAATTCTGTATCAGAGCTGCAACCATTTGCCAAGGGAGTTTGGCGATTCAGTTCCCACAAAGAAATATCTGCAGGACTTCAGCTCCCTGCCTTACTTTATTCTGACCTAAAGACAGACCTGAAATCACACGAAGTTGGTTGTTTTTTGGTGGGGTTTTTGTGGGTTTTTTTTTTGGTTTTTTTTTAAAGTCTTGGAAATCTACATTTGTGATTACTCATTTATTTGCATTAGATGTTCCAGCCCAGCTGTTCTGTTGTGCTCTGTATGTTCACTAGAGACTTAAAAACACACTACTTAAATATATTAGGAAACCAATGATTACTTTAACCAAACAAAATGATGACTTTTTTCTTTACTGAATTCCTATCCAGAGATGTTTCTACATCTTAAGTAAGGTGATTTACATTCATCGTATGCGCTGCATGCAGGCACTGGTTTGAATCCCAATTAGGGCTGACATTTAAGGACATCTGCATGAGTGTGTACTAAAATAAACCAGCATTTGTCCCAAAACTGAGATAACAGGGGGGATGCTGGTGACTTTTCTTACTTGTGAAAAAAACGAGGGACCTGTTTAAGCTCAGATCATGCCCTTTGTTACAAGAGTAACATAGCTCTCAGAAGGGGCTATTTTTAAATAAAAACGCTTATAAACATTTTTATTTAAACGTTTATATGAGGAAAGCCGCAAAGTTACTGTTTTGATGATGAAGCACCACGTAGTGCTCATGGCGTACCCGTCAAGTTACAGGAATGTATGGAACCGCTCACATTCCATGTCTCCTACAAAACTTCCATCAGATTTCATCAGCTAAGACAATAGCTTCATGCATAAATAATAACCTGTTATGCAAGCCTTGCCTACACTTGCAGTTGGCTATATCGTCCTATGTATTTTTATTAAAAATGGAAGACATTTTAGCAAGGTTTGAAGCAGATGAAGTACTGCTGGGAGGGAAGAGCTTTAGAAATGTACTACGATGGTTTACGGATAAACTGTGACCTAATGAAATACCGCCGTGGAGTAATGACAAGATCAGGGTTGGTTGGTTGGTTGGTTGGTTTGCTTGGGTTTTGTGCTACCTAAAAATGTAGTTGAGTTCAGACCGTTTTGTGTTCATGATGTATTTGCAGGCAAAGAAAGGAAACTATGCTTTCCTGTGGGATGTGACGGTGGTGGAATACGCCGCGCTGACGGATGATGAATGCTCCGTGACAGTCATTGGAAACAGCATCAGCAGCAAAGGATACGGGATCGCACTCCAGCATGGAAGCCCCTACAGAGATCTTTTCTCCCAGAGGTAACCTGAAACAAAGCTTGGTTTAGAGGATTCCTCTCTACGTAGAACCAGCAACCATTTGCGGTTCATGTTAATTTTGGCAATTATTGAATAAAGGACAGGGAGTAAGTGACAGCAGAGAGGTTTATGGGTTCAGGCTTTGTCAAAGCTGCTCCATGTGAATCTGCTTTGGGAGAAGGGGACTGGAGGTGGTGGGTGGCCTCAAGCCTCCAGGCAGCACTGTCTCTGGCAGAAAAAGGGCTGATGTCCTCAGAGCTGTCTGTGAGCTAGGGGAGATGAGATGATTCAAGAGATCTCTTTGATTCATGCTACGTGTTTCAGGCTATGAAGCAATGTGTTGCTCCCTACAGTAAGCAAGTAATAGTGCCCTGGTTTATCCTTTAGGGTGGAGATACAGGTCGAAGACTCAAAACAATAGAGGAAAACAAGAATTGCTGAGTATTGCACGGGCTTGCCGAGACTCTGAGACTGTGCCATTTAGTGATCTCAGAGCTATCGGCTAGGAATATCTTTTTCATGTGAGTGTGTACGCTGCAGTGAGGACATGCGGTTGTGCAGGTGTGTGCGTGGCCTTAGCAGAAGGTGAGCAGGCGTTCCGCTCCGGGCAGGGAGCTGAAGCAAGATTTCCTCATCTTGCTGCGTTATAAAAAGGGAGTAAAACTCCAGCTGCATAACCAGAGACAAAGCTGCCTCTAGAGAAAAGATTGTTAGTAAACAGCTAAAACAGTTATCAAACCACATCCAAAATGAATCATTCATGGAGAGAAAGGACACTTCACAAGAGGCAAAACAATGATTAATTAGCAGCTGTTAACACAGTAATTCGGGCATGCAGTATAACAGCACTGAAGTAAAATCCTTCTGAATAAACTGCATTTGCTGAAGTAAATGAGTTGGTCGCTGCTTAAACAGATTTGGATTAAGTGGTGCACAAATAGTAGCGTGTTTAGTCTCACGTGATTCTGAAATTATTGTGGGAGAGCAGCAGTGGAGTGGGTTGAGCATTTCGCTAGTGGGACCAGCTGCTGCAGCTGAATGTAGCCAGACTAGCCATGACTAACCGGAATATGGTGATTCCCCTTGGAAATGCTTCTTGCATTGCAGTGGAATTTTTGACGGTCTTTTTCTAGAGTTACCCAGTGGAGTTTACCTGCTGCTGTGAGTAGAAAGAAATCCTGGGATAACGAAGTTTCAGATGAAGAATACTACATGATGGTGGGATGTAGTTTTGACTTGAGGGCTGGCAGATTTAAAAATTCTGCGACATCCAGAGAAGACGAGAAAACCGTGAGAAAGTATCATTGAAAACTAACACTTGTCTTTTGAAATTTCTGCAGGATCCTAGAGTTGCAAGAAAGTGGAGATTTGGATGTTCTTAAACAGAAATGGTGGCCACGGATGGGACGTTGTGACCTGAACAGCCATACCAATGCACAGACAGATGGGAAGGCACTCAAGCTTCACAGTTTTGCAGGCGTTTTCTGCATTTTAGCAATAGGCCTTCTTCTTGCATGCTTGGTGGCAGCATTGGAGTTGTGGTGGAACAGCAACCGTTGTCATCAAGAAACACCGAAAGAGGTCCATAACTTTTATTCTTATCACAATTAAAAGTAGAAAACACAAAAGAGAGAGCGAGAGGAAGTTGTGGGATTTTAGGTGCTCTCGTACAATAAATATGATTTATTTTGATTCACCATACTAAGCTTTGCATATAACTTGTTGGGTGGTTGTTTCTAAACAAATAAAAGAAAAAGAACAAACATGTCTTTTGTGCACGTGGAAGGTGCCAAACTGACAGCCCTGGAGACTAAAGTCCTCTATTTATTTATAGAGCAGATACAGCATGGGCAGCAGCAGTGCAAACTTCCCCACATTGCCCCACCAATGTGCCTCAACCCTGACCTGGAGAGACCACCTTTAGGGGTAAGAGAGTAGTTCAGAAACATGCCCTCGGCCTCTCTGCGTGAGTGACGGGGAGGCCAGTCACGGGCACCCAGTTGTGCCATCTGTGGTGACATTTTTCTCTGATCTGAGACCCCATCCGTTGACTTTGAGAATCATTATCCATCCTGCGCACGCTGTGCGGCAGTCAGCCAGCTGGTAGCTGCTTTGCTTCATGGCTGACCTAGGCTGAGTTTGAAGAGGTACGCGAGCAATTCAGAATAAACCAGCTAGTTCTGAACTGAATAAGCCATACTGCCATGACACTGTTTAAATGCCTCCTTTCTTCTGAAATCAGTTTTATTTCTAAAAGTAGGCGTCTCTGATGAAACCGACCTTCATATTACATATTTTATTTAGGAAAATACATCCGAGAATTTCTTGGGTTTTAAGTTCTCATGCACAGCAGCGAGTAATAGCACGCGACGCTATGATAGAGTAATCGGTCCATACTCAGATCTTGTCTTGCATGAAGCCTGTATTTGCTCACATAGATTAAATGTTTAACAGACTAACCTCTTGTGATTTTTGGAGACACTGAGGCATTTGTAGGTGCTTTCATCTTGGAACAGATGTTTGTTACAAGCAAATAATAGCAGTGAGCTGCACTACAGCTGGAAAATAGTACACAGGCCATCAATTCCAATCTGTATTCCTCAAGTTGCCGGGAGTACTACACTAATTGACACACCTATCACCTGTAAGCAGGTCTGGCAAATGGGATCTGAAGATATATGTTGCAGTCTGTAATGCTGTGAAATATTTATTAGTAAGATTACATTCTTCTGAGTTCCTGCTTCTCCCATTTGAATTCATCCATCAAGTGCTCGGTGATAAACATCTGTACCATGTTTGTGGGACAAAGCTGCAAAGTCACTTGCCTGTGTCTTGACAATGTACAATAGCAGAAGAGGAATTTTGTAAAAGGAAGCACGCACAATGCAGCACTTCCAAAGCAGGTACAGGGAGAGCGTTAGTAGGTACTCCTGCTTGTAAAGAAGCTTTCACGGTGTAAGCCAAAATAGGAGCAGAAGTGCGTGTTTAATTGCTCTTTGGTTAAATACTGTAGCGTTTTGCCCTGCTGCCTTGTAGAACTCACTCCTGCTGCGTAACCCCAAAGGGCCCAGCCCACGTTAGCACCGAACCCTGGCAGCAGCGGAGTGCTGCCTGCCTGCCGTGCAAGCCTGGCAGAGCGCGGGGCAGGGATGGTTTGTGTGCACAGACCTCCCTCTTGCCATGCCCTGCAGCGCACTGCCCTCCTCCTTGTGCTCAGGGACTCGCTTTGTGCATCTCTGTAGAGTGAGACGAGAATATGTCCCAAAGGCAGTTTCATATAGGTGAGGTGAAATCATTCACTCTTCTGTTGCAAGGAGTATTAAATACTCCGTTTCCATCTCTGAAAAGGGATCTGTCTTCCTCAGTTTCAGTATTTTTTGCCCACCCCCTTCATTTCTCTTTGTATAACTGTGAAAAGGATTATTACAGATTCCTGCCTACCCCATCCCATCTTTTTCTCCCCTTCCCATCCCTCTCCTCCTCCTCTCCTTTCTCTCCAGCGTGTTCTCGATTGGGGTTGCTCTGTACATCCTCGTTTGCAGTTTCAGTGACAATAGAATATTTTTAAGCTTCTGGTTTTTAAAGTATACTCAAGTTACCCATATGCTAAAGCTGTGCTTGTGAAGATCACCGGGGGGGGGGCTGGGTTTGCCCTGGGTGCAGCCAGTCTGGGTTAAGGGAGGCAAATTCAACTCAGGCACAGCGCACACGCAGCAGGCTCAGAAACGGACGGTGATGTGGGTGCTGCCCAGAGAGAGGGAGCAGAGTCAGCGGGAGCCCTGGCACGTGTTAAGGTTGAACGAGAAAGTGCGTGTTCCCGAGGGCACGGGGCTGAGGGCCCGCAGGCCCAGCCGGCCAGGAGGAGAACGCGAGGAGGGTGTGCGAGGCAGGCGGGACGGAACGTGGGGGTCCCTGAAAAGGACAGCAGGGTGCAGCGAAAGGCAGGTGGCTAGAAGCACCTTTGGATGGGGTCAGAGCAGCCTGAGGGAAGGCAGAGCGAGAGCCGCCCACCGCCACGGCTGGGCCGGGGCTTCTGGCGTCCTCCATTTCAGTGTGACACAGCCACGTTGTTGTTGTTAACAACCTAAACTCCATTTCCACCCGAGCTCCCTGCAGATGGTGCCGTGTTACACACGAACCATCAGCTGAGCTCAAACCGCCCCCTGCGGCCCCGGGAGCGGCCGAGGCCTAGGG